GCCGCCATTATGTGGGGATTGACCATTTTGTCAAGAAGTTATCTTGAAGCATCTTGATTCGCTAGGCACGTGTTTGGAGGCTTCTGATTGGCTGGATGATGCTAAAGCTTTGAGTTTTCCTCCCTAGAAAGCCTAATCAAAGGCCTATAAATAGTTCTCTAGAGATAGAAATGGGGGAAGGAGACAAAAGGTCAAGAAAGGATCGTTACTCTGCCGGTAGAGCAACCCTCCTAACTTAGAACGAGACCAAGCTTTGAGAAAAAAACTGCGCCAGAAATAGCGCCCCTGGCCCTATTTTCTCTTTTTGGGCGCCATTTCCTGTGGGCATTCTGGGGTCTTCGTTTCAATAGATGAACACCTAGGAACCCCTCCATGTGGCTAGCTAAGTTCCTTAGTTGTGTAACACCTTAGGCAAATCCCACATCGACAAAGCACAAGAGAGATCCATGGTTCATAAGTAAGAAACCGACCTTAACTAGCAAGACGCGTTTTGGGGTGTAATGGAGGAGTTCTTGTGAGAACTCTAAAGTTAAACGTGCTCAGTGTGGAGTACAACAAGGATGGGTGACCTTATGGGAAGTCACCTTGAATTGCACCCCAAGTCAAAAATTGTGAGGGTCGAGGCCCATAGCGGACAATATCTTGGCCGGGAAAAGGTTTGGGATGTAACAGTTGCATAGGTATGTGAATTTTAGGGGTTTTAACCATGTAAACTCAATGTTTGGTTTTATAAGATTGTGTTTATTTCATATGAGCTAATGTTTAATTTCCTCTATTACGTTATTTGTCGATTCGAATGAGAGTTTAAGTCGATCTTGCACTCCTTCGAGGTGCAAGGATCGAAGTCCAAGTCTCTTAGGATGAAAATAGAAATAGCAATCCTATTCGCTTAGGATGGGACTAGAAATAGCATTCTTATTCGATCGAACGGTGTGATGCCTCAAGCGAGAAATCCAAAGGGTCCTTGTCGTCCATTAGTTTGAGTAAATGCTTCGACACAGAGTGGCATGCATGATTAGGAGACCCAGGGAGATCTCACCTATGCAAAGCCTTCCTTATTTAATCTCTCACTCGTCCAATTAGTTAGGTTTATTTTTTGTATTGTGTTGCAAACTCTTACGTTCTATAAAACCGGGGGCATATACACCACCTAAATCAACCACTTCTTGAATAGAATCATACATCTCTTCCAAAGTAGGGTTCTGCGAGATGCCCTAGGGAAATACAATCTTAGCCTTAGGGCCAAGTAAATTTGATTCTATTCTACAACAGATCATCTGGTTTACAAAGTAAGTGTGGCACTTCAACTAGAAATCACTCTTGGTGATGTTGGATCCTAAGGGTAAAGTTGTGAACCCAAATTACCTTCACATGATATGGATTTGGGGTAGCTTGGCTTTCCTTTTCACTAGTGCTAGAGAGGAAGCATTGTGGAAGGGGGAGTCATGGAGGCTTGACCTTCTTGCAGATGACATTGATCTTGTCATCCTTTTTTTGGTATGCAATCACACCTCCTTCCCTTTTTCCCCAAAATATGCATATTATTATGAAATTAGTCACGGGTTGCAAGTTAATCAGGTTATTGATCAATCAAATGAAGTAAGACGCTTTTTAGTTTATAAGTTGGGGAATTGGGAATCAATGGCTTTCTAGATTATAGATATCTCAGTGGAAATTCATTTGCTTGTACGAATGATAGAAACAAATCATATCATTGTTGAAGAAATTGGGGATTTAGGGATTAGAAGAAATTGAGAGAGAGAATTTGAAGAAGAGAAACTAGAGATAAGGGATTTGGGTTTAATGTATTTTCATTCATAATTATGAAAATAGACGTTCTCCCTACTTAACTAATAGTTCGAAAATAATAACCAGCAAATAACAATCATGCCCACCTGAATCAGGCCTCACTTGACCCGTCCACATGCGGATTCTATCATATCTTCCCTCTGCCAAACTGACATTAAGAAGGAGTCTTGGTTACTCACAATCTACGGAGGAATCCATGATGGCGCATCACACCCATCACTAACTATTCAGCCACTGTCTTTGATGCATAGGGGTGTGTGCTAATGCCATGTAGGGATGGCAATTTCGACCTGACCCGTTTTACCCGACCTGTTTGACCTGTTTTGGGGCGGGTCCGACCCGCCCCGTAGGCGGGGCGGGGCGGGCATGGGTAGTCTTATCGACCCGACCTGCCCTGACCCGCCCCATTCTTGACCCGTTCTTATCTAAATTACATGAAATTTTAGTCAAATTACTTTGAATTTTCCTTTTATTGCATCATATTTTAGCTATAATAAAGTTGCAAATTAGTGAAAACCTCAATTTCTCCAATAATTTAACTACAATTGTCATAATATTGTTTGTTTTCTTAGTTTTATAATAAAAATAACGAATATTTCTAATGTTTTTCATATAAATTGCATACCCATTGGGTCGACCTGCCCCAACCCGTGACCCGTGATCAATTACCCGACCTGGACCCGCCCTGCCATGGGGCGGGTCTGGGTACCAAGAAACCCGCCCCGGACCTGCCCCATTGCCATTCCTAATGCCATGAAATGAGCATACTTCATTAGGTGTGTTTAAACGGAGTGGTTATTGTGGTAACCATTTTAATCGGTAGTATATGGATAATTTGGTTTAGTTAATTTGGATAATTGGTTTGGTTAAAAAATTTAGCTTGTTTGGTTTAGATGGTTTGGTTTCAGACACTCCTAACCGATCAAACCAAACTAACTACTTAAGTAATTAGCCATATATCTAATATATTATACACACATACTTAATACTTTGCATAACCACTTAAGAGTCAAATGGTAGATAACTGTAATAGTTACATGTATTATGTTAAGGGTTAACTACAATTATGTGTTGATTGTTATGTGTTATGCATTATATAAATTGCAAATTGATGCACTAACTGAAAATTTTTCTCACTTAATGATATTGTGATGGTATATTGATTAACCAATTAACCAAACTAATTAAACTTTAGTTTGGTTAATTTGGTTGTTGTGTTAGGTTGGACGGGTTGGTTATGATATTGTATTCCATGATTAATAGAATTTAGGCTTATTTGTTTTGGTAATTACCATGGTACCCATTTGAACACCCCTATACTTCGTCAGTCGATCTACCACAACAAATAACACAATCTTACCATTGGATGGAGGTAGCCCCACTACGAAGTCCATGCCGATATCTTCTCACACCCTCTTCGGTAGCATAAAGGCTGCAGAATCCAGGCTGGTCTCAGCCTTGCAACTTTACCCACTGACACGTGTCACAAGAGCGAGACTGCTTCACTTCGTTCACCATCCGGGGCCAGTAAAAATGAGCTCGGATCCACCTCAGCATCCTCTCGTACCCTAAATGACCCCTAGGGGTGAGTCGTGGAACTCCTGCAAGACGGTAGTTACTAGAGATGAACCTACAAGTAAGAGAATTTGGCCCTAGAAAAAACGGATCCTTGCCAAAAGGTGTAACCACCTGGGGCTTTGCTTAGAGCCTTCAAATTCTACTCCTGTAGATAGGGACTGTTCTCTGTGGTGGCTCGGAGCGCGTCCCAAAACTAAGGAATTGATCTCGAAACTGCTGCCAACACCTCTCTACCCTGACACCTAAAAAAGCCATCTGCAGCCACATTCGCGGTTCAAGGTCGATAGTGTATCGATATTCATACCCCAACAATTTGGAGGCCCACTTGTGTTGATCCGGTGTAGATACCTACCGCCCCATGAGATGCTTCATGCTATAGTGATCAGAGTACATATGGAACTTTTGGTCCAACAAATATGGTCACATGTCTGCACTGTTGTGATGATGGCTTGCATCTCCTTCTGGTGTGTTGATCACGCCTCTTTGGACGGAGCTAAAGTCTGGCTCATGTACTCTACCTCCTGCATTCCAAAAACGCATTTGAAAGCCTTGACATTGTACAGAAGGTTCTTCAGGATTACAAACATAGCCTGCAAATGGTATAGGTGGTCTTACCACATCGGGTTGTACATGAGAATGTCATAAAAGAAAAACAGAACATACTGTCGCACTATCAACCGGAAGATGTCATTCATGGCTGCCTGAAAAGTGGAAGGGGCATTACGCAGTTCGAATGTCATCACTAGGTACTCGTAGTGCTTGTTATGCGTAGGGAATGTCGGCGTATGCACATCCTCTTTGTGCACCCTGATATGATGATACTCTGCCGTTGGGTCCTACTTGGTGAAGTAGCGGGATCCATGGAGCCTATCCATCATATCACCAACTATCGGTATGGAAAAATGGTCCTTCACATTAGCCTTATTCAAGGTCTGGTAGTCCGTGAAGAAACTCCAGGTTCCATCCTTCTTCTTCCCCGGCAACACAAGCGATGAAAAAAGACTGGTGCTAGGGCGGACCAGTCTAGTCTCCAGCATCTTCTCACCTATTTTTTTATCTTTGCCTTCAGCGAGTGATTGTACCGGTACGGTCAGATGTTAATAGCCTCAGTATCCTCCTTCAATTGTATCTCATGATCTACCTACCAGTGTAGAGGAACTTTGTCAACTTCTCGAACATCTTTGGTTAACAATCAAGAACTATGTGCAATTTAGCTCCCACCTCTTGATCGCTGACTATCTTTACTAGCTCGCATAAGATAGCTAGTTTGATGCCCCATCCTTCTCCCACTCCTGAGGCTCAAGTGGCTCTAGTGCCATGGTGAGCCCTTATAATTTGCTTACCATATCCCTCCACTGGAAGCACATGGTTAGACTCTTCCAATCGCTCGTGACTGGACCTAGACTTTTCAACCATTGAACCCCAAGAACAATATCAATCCTTTCAATGGCAGCACAAAGAGATCGACATTTACCTCAACACCTTGAATCACCAAAATGACGTCTCTGAAGACCTGGTCGCACCTGAGAGGCGCCCCATTAGTCACCTTGACTACCATAGGTTTGATCCAACAAACCTCTTGCTGAAGATTTTTGCAAAACCCTTCTTCGAACATGTGGGTTGCCGGCGCCGGGAGCCCTTCCGTCAAGAGCAGCAAGATGGCAGTTGACCCCCCTCGCTCCCCTTCTCCCGCTGCCACCTCGAGAACCATCCCCGAGTCATTCGATGTCAACACGACGATGGCGCTAGCGGAGGCGGGCTCTACCCGTCAACCTTGTCAGGTGAGTCAATCAAGCCCCAACGATCGATGGCTCGTAGTAGCTCTTCCTTCACTTGTCGAGCCCATTCTCTGGTGGTGACTTGTGGCAAACTCGTTCTGGCTCTGATACCAGAGGATAGAAACAAGATCATACTAGGGTTAAATAAATTGGGGGTTTAGAGATTAGAAGAAATTGGGAGAGAGAATTCATAAAAGAGGGAGAAGAGATTAGGAATTTGGGTTTAATATATTTTCATTCATAATTCTAAAAATAGACATTCTCCTTACTTAAATAATAGTTTTGAAAATAATAACCAACAAATAATAATCATGTCCACCCGACCTGCCCTCATATAGCCTCTCCCGACCCGCGCACATGAAGGTTTTCTATCAACGAACGTGAGGACATGGAGTGGACCAGGAAGTTCGCCAAAACAGCACAAGAAGTGGCTCGAGTAGTAGGAATCACCATGGAAATGCTTAATGTTATCTGTAAAGAGCATCCCCAAAGAGAAAGTCTGGAAGAATGATGTCATGGTTCAGTCCGAGAACCTCGGTCATGGTTCAGTCCGAGAACCTTGGTCGCGCTCAAGAGCATGTGGCACTCAAAATTCCAACATAATAGGACTGTGGAGAACGATGCCATCATGTAGGAATCATGACGATGCTGAGCTTGGCGGGCTGCGAGCAAGGATGGGCCATGGCGAGTAGGGAATCCCAAGAGATGACCAAGGCGAAGGGGGGAGACCATACTGAAGAGCTTCATGGAGTTTGATGAATGGAAGGAGCGAACACAGAAGAAAGGATTCGTTCCTGCACTAAATGACTATCTACTTAGATTGCATACTCCTTATCATTGAAACCGCTTGATCCTTCCTGGAAGCACCAGAGAGCATCTCCAAAAGGGTTGTTTGCACTGAGTTTGGGCGTGCCATGGAGAAGTTCATCATGTATCGTTGCTGCACCAATTGAGCAAAACGTCTCTAATCATTTTTCAGGAAAAACTTTGAAACCTTAGTTTAGTCTCGTTATTGGGTTCATGTACTACAACTATATTTATTATTCACTGTTAGTTTGTTATTTGAGAAAGATTTAACCTAGCTACCAGAATCTTAGGGTTTAGAAATAAAATGAGAGAATGCAGTCTTGTGGTAAATCGGCAAAATGCCTCTTCCTCTGTGGGATCTTGTATATATATAGCAGGTAGCACTGTACATTAACGGTAAAGAGCAACAATTAATTAAACTAACTAATAAGGAGAAGCCAAGTGGCAAGCTACATCTAATCTTCTTAACTAACTACACTAAACCAATACTACGTCGTTGTGCTTTGTGGAGTGTTTACCACTAAAAGTAAACGACGTATTTCTGAGGTCATTGAGCTGTGTACTGAACAGAGTGAAGGGAAGCTCTGCTCAGCTTGTTGATTCTTTTCAACCTGCAGTCTCTTGGAAGATATGCAACAGCTAGTGATCATGTAACCTCATTTACACGCTCCCTCAAGTAGGCAGTGGAATCTATCAACAGAGAGACCCTTAGTGAACAATTCTACTAGTTGCTCTTCTTTCTGAATGTGCTGAAGAGAGAGAAGTATTAAAATCAATCTCTCACGAAAAACATGGAAATCAACTTCAATATGCTTAGTTCTTTCATGGAAACTCGACTTTGATGCTGTGTGTATAGGAGATTGATTGTCATAAAACACCTTAACTGGTTGCTGGTGTTGAAATCCATAGAACTTCAGTAATGATTTTAGACATTGAATTTCACACAAGATCTGAGCTAAAGCTTTGTATTCTTCCTCTGAAGATGATCTTGAAAGAGTCTTCTGCTTTTTACTTTTCCATGTAACTAACGAACTTCCCAAGAAAGTGCAGTATCCAGTAAGATTTTCTTGTGTTTCGGCATGTAACCCAATCAAAATCACAATACCCTCATGTGTGTAGACACTGAAGATGAAGATGAAAACCGTAAACCCTGACTTGGACATCCCTTCAAATACGTTAAGATCTTCTGTAAAGCCCTCATGTGTGTAGTTGTAGATTTTTCTTGAAACTGACAAAGTTGTTGAACTGGGAATGTGATGTATGGTCTTATTGAGGTTAATTACTAGAGTTGTCCGAGTAAATGCCTGTAGTGAGAACCATCTTCCAACAGAACTCCACATGATGCTGAACGAATAGTTTTCACTTTCATGCTTAAAGGGGTCTTTGCAGGTTTACTTTCTAGAAAGTTAGAGTTGGCCAACAGTTACAGAGAAAACTTTCTCTTATTCAAAGAAATACCTTCATTTGATCTAGCAACTTCTATTCCTAGAAAGTATCTAATATTGCCTAGATCCTCCACCTTGAACCCCTTCTTCAATTCCTACTTCACATGCTCAATATCTCCCAAAGTAGGTTCTGCCAACAGTATGTCATCTACATATACAATTTGAGTTACTAAAATCATCTTAAAATCTAAGTAATCATCAAGGGATTGCTCAAATCCCATGTTCTTCAAATACGCAGATAGTTTGATAAACCATTGTCGACTGGCCTGCTTGAGTCCATAAAGTGACTTGTTAAGCTTGAGTACCTAGCCCTCTAGGTGACTTAGACCCTTCAAATCATCTGGTACCTCCATATAAACCTCATCCTCTAAGTCGCCATGGAGGAAAGAATTGCTTACATCCAGCTGATGTAAATGTCAACCTTTGATAGCAGCAGTGGCTAAAAGAAGCTTAACTTATTTCAATTTTGCAACAGGGAGATAGTGTGAATAAAATCAACACCATAAGTTTGTGTATTGCCTTTGGCTACTAAACGAGCTTTACTTCTCTCTATTTCCCCATTTGGTAAGAACTTGGTTTTAAACACCCATTTGTTCCCTAGAATCTTTTGTCCAACAAGAGGACCCACAACAGTCCATGTGTTATTCTCTTCCAAATGACCCAACTCTTCTGTAATTTCTTTATTCCAACGGTCATCTGTGATAGCCGGAGAGCAGGTTTCAGGGTTTAGTTTGAGTGAAATGGAGAGAGTGTAATGTTTGTTGTCAGAAGATAAACTATTGTAGTTTAGAGAGTGGGAAGGAGGGTAAGTGATTCTGGTATCATGAGTGCCAGGAGTACCATCAATAAAGAAAGATGTGTTAAAGTCTTGCAAGTAAGCAGGTTGTCTGGAAACTCGTGTAGGCCTTCTAAGAGAAATAGGAAAAGAATCTTGACCTGTAGTAGAGAAAGAAGGTGTATAAGTGGAGGGAGAAGAAGAGGAAATAGAAGATTGAGGTGTAAAGGGTGAATTGGGAGTCTGAGTAAGAGGTGAAGATGGTGTAGATGAGGAAGGTGAAGAATCTGTATATGTAAAGGAATAAGATGGATCAGTAGTTTCATGGTGATTATGATCTAGAGGTAGAATTGGAGAAATGGGTAAAGGGGTGGATTGAGAAGAAGAAGGAATCCTACTCTCAGGTGCCTTAAAAGGAAAGGAATCCTCAACAAACTCCACATCTCTACTGATAAAAGTATCACAAGTCTCTAGATCATATAATTTAAAACCCTTAATCCCAGAAACACAGTTTTTTTTTTTTTTTTTTTTTTTTTTTTGCTTTCTCTGCAAACTTCTTATGTTCATCTAGAACTGTAGCATAGGCAAGACAACCAAAGGTTTTCAAGAAACTTTAATCAGGTGGTATGCCATACAAACACTCAAAAGGTGTTTTGTTACCTAAGACAGGATTAGGAGTCCTGTTGATTAAGAATGTCGCATGCAAGACCAAATTGCTCCAAAAGCTAGTAGATACCCCAGACTGAAATTTGAGTGCCCTAACAACATTTAAAATGTGCTGGTGCTTTGAGTTCTACCTTACCATTCTACTGTGTAGTCTTAACACAACTCATTTCATGCAATATGCCATGATCATGATAAAATTTAGGCATATTGAACTCATGCCCCTTATCACACCTTATCACCTTAATAGTCTTCTCAAATTGTGTTTTTTACCATGCTATAAAAAATTGAACTAATCCACGTGCTTTTGATTTAGAACTTATAAGAAACAACCATACACTTCTACTGTAATCATCAACAACAGTTAAAATGTACTTAAAACCATCATAAGAAACAACATCAACTTGTCCCCAAATGTCAACGTGGACAAGATCAAATAATGCTTTGATAGTAGAGAGTAACCTTGACAATGCCAGTATGAGTAACATTTGCCTGTTGTCCATTAGGTAAGGTTACTGACATGTCCTTAACCTCTCTACATCTAAAGAAGAAATGCATAGTGATAGAAACCTTTGCCTGTTGTCCATTATGTAAGGTTACTGACATGTCCTTAACCTCTCTACATCTAAAGAAGAAATGCATAGTGATAGAAACCTGCGTTTCTATTATTTTTTAGCATTTGGACTTATTTGCTAGTTTATGATTGTTTAAGAATTCTATGAGGCATTTGGGGATTTAATTGGGGATTTAATAAATTGGGGTAGCTATAGGTAATTAGGGAATGCTATTTAAACTATTTTGCTACGTAGGAATGAAGGTTAAGCAAAGATTAAACCTAATTATCCTACTTTCCCTCTTCTTTTCCCTTCTCATACACGCACAATAGAAGCCATTGGAAGGCTTTTCACCCAAATCCCTTCTCTTTTCTTATTATCAGATAGAACACTAAATACGGGATTCTATCATCTGGTATCAGAGCCCGATTCCGACTATTGAGTTTGTTGCAACTCTACACCGAGATGGGCAGCAAGACCATGGCTATCACCAAATCCCCCGCAGAGAAGTCTGACGCCGTATCCAAGGCGGCGGCGGCCCAGATCAGGGTTTCCTCGCCACAAGCAGACATTCGGCGTGAAGGCGTCGTGGTGGACAAAACCGAGAATGAAGATCTCCAGGATTCGATGCGCACCATCATGGCGATGCAGTTGATGAGGCCAGGCGCGAACGCGACATGATCATGCAGCTCCTCACCAACATGCAGGAGGAGCAGAGGAGGATGGCGGCTGCGTTGGGGCTTTATGGCGGTAACCGTGGCGGGGTGGTGACGACCAAGGTGGACCAGGCGGCGGTAGCCGGCCATCGCGCGGCCGCAGGAGGTGGGGACCCGACGGCTATCTCGGCGGCTAGCGAGGCGGCGGCGGGGGCCGAAGGGGAGGCGACGGTGGCGACCCTAGAGCAGGCGGCGGCTGACCGGGTGGGCCTAGATGCTGGTAGGCCTCGTGGCGGGTTCGGGCTGCTACCGACCCCGACGGAAGAGGAGATCGCGGTCATACGTGGCAAGGCGAAGATGCCGGGATACGACAACGTGGTCCAGAACCCATGTTTCAGACCGTTGGGCCCAAGCCCGATAGAGGACGAGATGGGCTGAGTGCAACGGGTCAGGGCGGGCTTGAGCGGGGCTGCGGGACGGATGGGCTCGATCGGATTAGCGGACGGATCGGGCTTTGGTAATCCAACCGGTCCGGAATGGTCGAACCTGAGCTGGGTAGCCCAAAAGTGGCCGAACCGGAGCTGGGTGGGACAAAGTCGGTTGAACCGGAGCGGGGTGGACTGAAGAGGGTCGAAGCAGAGCTGGGTGGACCAACAGCAGCCGAACCGAGGCTGGGTGGACCAATAATGATCGAACCGGGGTTGGTCAAACTGCAAGTGAACCAAACCGATTCGGGTTGACTCTGGATGGCAGACCAGCCGCAGGATGGCGAGCCCAGCTGGAGGGCTCGAGTGCACACGGTCCTCCTTTCGCAGCATCAAGAAACCCCGGGGGTCAACCCGGAAGGTACGGACACTACTCGGGAGACGACGGGCATGGCTAGGGCCCAGGAGGCGACGCTGCGGTCCACCGAGATATCACGGAGCATACCCCAGTGCGGGCAGGTATGGTGGATATGATCGATATGATGAGTATGGCTTAGTGTTTCGAGCCAAGCCCCCAACCATTGAGTTTTCAAAATTCACTGGTCAAGAGGATGCCGGTTTATGGTTATATGCAG